TAGATGCAGCTAAGGAAATAAATAAGCGAACAGAAGTGAGTTTAGCCACCGGAGAAAATGTGTCTGAATAATCCACCCCATAAGTCTGAGCATATCCTTTAGCCACTAGTCGAGCCTTAAGTCTAGCCACAGAGCCATCTGGATTAACTTTGACCGCAAAGACCCATTTGCATCCCACTGCCTTCTTTCCTTTTGGTAAATCCACCAAGTCCCAAGTGTGATTCTCATCTAGTGCATGTATCTCCTCAAGCATTGCATTATACCATCCAGTGTGACTCAAGGCTTCCTTAACTGTCTTAGGAACAACGATAGAGTCTAGAGAAACAATCAAAGATCTAGACATAGAGGATAAATGACCATAGGAAACAAAATTAGCAATGGAGTATGGAGATTTGCAACTACGTGTACCTTTGCGAATAGCAATAGGGAGATCAAGATCTTCTGGAAGATCAGACGAATGAGGATCTGATGACAAAGGGACTGGTGCAGAACATGTATCAATGGCTTCTCGCCTCCTCGAGTAAACTTGTACAACCGGGGGTCTTACTACCGTAGATGGTGCAGGAGCTGATGGTACAGTATCCGATTGATCCTCAATAGATGATCTGAGAGATGGAGGGACAATATTTGATTCTTCTGTCAAAACACGGGTGACCTCATAGACTAACCACTCATCTTCCTCCCCTTGACTTGTAGAAATAGGAGGTGCATAAAAGAAAGGTGTAGTCTCTGAAAATACCACATCAGTTGATACCAAATATTTGCCAAGTTCAGCAGAATAACATCGATACCCCTTCTGAAGACGAGAATAACCCAAAAAAACGCACTTCAATGCCTTTGGATCCAACTTAGTGACAGATGGTCGAACATCTCGAACATAACAAGTGCTTCCAAACACCTTAGGTTCTACTGGAAATAGTGACTTGTTTGGAAACAGAACACTGTAAGGCACATTACCAGCAAGAATAGTGGATGGCATACGATTAATCAGAAAACAAGCCGTAGAGACTGCATCTGCCCAAAACTGTTTAGGAACCTTCATTTGGAACAAAAGTGCTCGAGTTGTCTCAAGTAGATGCCTATTCTTCCTCTCAGCAACTCCATTTTGAGAGGGTGTATCAACACATGAAGACTGGTGGAGAATACCGTGTTGTCTCATGTATGATTGAAATGATTCTGACATATATTCTTTAGCATTGTCACTCCTTAGAATACGTACCGAAGCATTGAATTGTGTTTTGACTTCAGCATAGAAGGCACAAAAGTGAGTAAACACTTCTGAGCGACTCTTCATGAAATAAATCCAAGTCATACGAGAAAAATCATCCACAAAAGTAATAAAATACTTATGCCCAGTTTTGGAAATGACAGGGCATGGTCCCCAAACATCAGAATGAACCAACTCAAAAGCTGACTCAGCCCGCTTATTAACCCTTGGACTTAATGAGCTGCGATGATGTTTTGCAAATCGACATGACTCACATTCTAATGAAGAAATATTTTGGAATTGCGGACAAAGCTTCTTTAGCAAAGGTAGAGATGGATGTCCCAATCGACAATGTGCTTCAAATGGAGACACAACACTAGAGCAGGCAACAAACTGAGGCCCCCATTCATCCAAAATATAGAGATCGTCAGATAGATGTCCTTTACCAATAACCTGATTCGTCTTAAGATCACGAAACAAACAATGATCCGGAAAGAACGAAATATAACAATTAAGGTCTCTGGTAACTTTGCTAACAGAAATCAAATTGAAGGCCAACTTTGGTAGACTTAATACTGATGACAAGGTAATAGTGGAGGTTGGTTTAACAGTCCCATATCCATCACTGTTACAAGTTGATCCATCAGCTACAGTAACCGGAGAGGGAGCTTTGTGTGACTGAAAACTAGTAAAAATGTTAGAATTACCGGTCATGTGATTTGAGGCACCTGAATCAATCACCCATTTATTTGAAGAGGTGATTAGACATGTTTTATCTGATTTAGTAAAGGCATTAACTGAGGTGGATTCCTTCAATAATTTCTGATATCGAGAGAATTCAGCAAACTCCTTTGAGGAAATCAAAATCATTTTATCAAACCTTTGAGTTCCCTGATTACAGTCAGTCATATTCCCAACAAAACGCTCACGGTACCAAAATGAATTGGTGGACAAACCAACAAGTCCCAAACAGACTATAATCCCAAAGAAAAGACAATACAATCACCAAAATAAAATGACTAACCAGATCTGACCGCTCCAAGACCAATCTGGCCGAATAATCAGAAACGAAGGGAATGTTGACCGGAAAAAACAACAATGTCTGAGAAGCCAACAGATTTTCTGGACAGCAACCCAAAAATTAGAAGGATGGACAGGTCGTCTTCTTTGATACTGCGTTTGAAAGTTTCGAGTTCCGACTAAATAACCTTATCGAAACAGCTCCAGAATGACTCAAGCTTCAGATTTGAGTTCACAAACAGATCTCCCACAAATATTCTTAGCACCCTTCTTGAATTTCCAGAATTTTGAAGCACCAGCTTCACTCGAGAAAGGCAGACAATCAAGCTTCAGATTTTAGAGTTTCAATCCGAACCCAGATGCCACAAAATGGATTCAGTACACTTAGACAATCAATTTCTCTAACACAGAAATGGTGTCCAGATTCAAAGGTGAAAGATAGAGCTCTCAACTACTTCCCCGAAGCCACAGTAGCTTCCGGCGAAGTCACAGTGACTTCCGGCAAAGCCAAATCCCAGCTTAGACAGTTGCTCTGATACCATGTAACTTATATTATATGGAGAATGACTTGTTCCTTTCTATTCATCAAGACAAGATACTTATACAAATACTATGCTTCTATGAAAGGAAAACTAATCAAAGTAAATCAACTAAGAATCTGCTCCTATAATTAAATTAGCTATATATGGAAGATATAATATTTACACCTATTATATTCTATAACAGTTTTGTAGGAGTAATATGGTAATTCTGACCTAAGCCCACTGTTTTCCAGCAATTTTTGACAACTAGATTCACAGATTGCAACATTTTCTCTGGTTGACAGTGTTTCCGGTGACTGGTTTACCTTTCACAATGACCTCTGTCTCTCTTTCTTTGTTCTTCTAGCATCTTTAGGTGTTTGGTGTATTGCTTCGTTTCACGTGAATTATTTTGGTTTGATATTGCCTTGTTGTTCAGGCTATTTGGCAATTACAGATTTTCTTTGCCGTTGTTACTTCGGCAATATTCAATTCCATATTTGATTTCGAGGATCAAATTGTTGAGACCTCGTGCTTGGTTTGGAAAGTTTAGCGATGTAGTTCAGGAATTTGGATTGATAAAGAGCAAGTGTGATCACTTAGTCTTCTACAGGCAGTCAACGGTTGGTTCTTCTAGTTGTTTATGTTGACGATATTGTTATCACAGGAGATGACTGTGCGGGAATTTCTTCTCTCAAGAAACTTCTACATGCCAAGTTTCACACCAAAGACTTGGGGCAACTGAAATGTTTCTTGGCCGTAGAAGTCCCAAGAAGCAAGAAAGGGATTTTCTTGTCCCAAAGGAAGTATGTACTTGACCTACTGCTCAAACTGGAAAGTTGGGAGCCAAGCCATGTGGCACAGCAATGGTTCCTAATGTACACCTTACTAAAGATGATGGTGGCACACCAATGGTTCCTAATGTACACCTACTTGATTTTCAATGTACTTTTTGTCCTGTGGTAAAGCCTGCAACTGTTCGACTCGTTCTTGCAATTGCAACACAACAAAGCTGGCCCTCGTCAACTTGATATTGATAATGCCTTCCTGCAAGGTTGTCTCGATGAGGAAGTCCATATGCACCAACCACCTGGTTTCGAAGCTTCTACACATCTGGGCATGTTTGCAAGCTGCACAAGCTATATATGGCCTCAAACATGTTCCCAAGGCCTATGCCTGGTACACTGAACTCAAAAATTACTTGGTTAATTTGATCTGATTCTTCATTATTCATCCAGCATAATTTTGAGTTTACTATTTATGACTCAATATGCATGTAAAATACTATGGATACATCACTCTTTTAGTTGTTGTTGGTTTGAAGCCCTTGTCGATGTGATAATCAGATTGTTCTGCACATTGCCTCAAACCCATTGTATCATGAGCATATGAAACATATTGAGGTTAATTATCACTTTGTCCGTGAGAAGATTCATGAGAACATGATTTCTACTGGCTATGTGAAGACAGGAGAGAAATTGGGTGATATACTCACGAAGGCTTTAAATGGAATGCGAGTGGTATATTTTTGTAACAAGTTGGGCATGATTAATATTTATACTCCAACTTGATGGGGAGTGTTACATAATGTATATAGATGCTTCTTCATATAGTATACCTAGCACAACCATAGGTAGAGTTATTTAGGGATTTTATTTCCTTAGATAGATTTACTTGTACACCTACAAATAGCTCACTCTTGGAATAATACAATAAGCAACTTTGCTCTCTTGTGTCTATTTTACACTCTCAAAGTAAGAGGATTAGTAACCCTAAGAGGTAAGGAGATGATGGAAATGGACCAAAATAGCGACGGTTGCTGTTGAAAAGAAAATCCAAAGAGGCTGGATTAGGGATAGAAACATCCAATGCCTTGCACCTCTTCCATCACCCATTAATTTTTTTATTTCTTTAGTTTTTAAGTTTGGATTCCAAGGCATTTTTGTCTACTATCATAAAAATTGCCTTATTAATTGCATTTGATTGTAGTTCTGCGTCTTCATTATTAATAGATTGTTATCCATTGTTTTGTAAAGAAAAAGTAAAGTATTGTCTACAGAATGGCACATACTTAATCCCCTCAATAGTGCTCCTCTGGCAATATATAACATACACTCATGCTATGGACCAAAATACCCACGATTGCTCTCCATGCCTATATAAAACCACATTGTGGCGATTAAGTATTATATAAAATGAGAAGATCATGGTGTAGCCTATGATTACACAAAAAGAAAGAGAGAGAGAGATACCAAGAACTTCTGCTGATGTGATTCTGCTTTTCGCATCCTGTGTTAGCATTTTCCGAACAAGATCCTTGGCACTATTTGATATGGATGGCCACGGATCACTATGAAAGTCAATTTCTCCTTGTAGTATAGCATGGAATATTCCCTTTTCAGTTTCTGAAAAGATTTGGCAAGACATGTTAAAAGAGAACGCAGAAAATAACCACCAGTACAGTATCTTTATGTTATTGTCTCTGTCCTTACCATCCCAAAATGGAGGTACACCACTAAGCAGAATATACAAAATAACACCTGCACTCCATACATCCGCTTCCTTTCCATAACTGCGCCTCAATACTTCAGGAGCAACATAGTATGCACTACCAACTATATCGCGGTACACCTTACCTGAAATCAATAAATAAAACATGAATTTAAATCTGTAGATCATAAAAAACAGGGTGCAGGAAACAAGGATAGATTAAGTCAATACCACTAATTCAGGTTTCCACATGAAGATCAAATTCATCCAAGGGTAACTTGGTGAGTTGACATCATGAAATGTTGTAGTAAATTTTGTTCTAGCTATGTGTTGGACAAATTTTATTTAAAGAAAAAAGGCCGTGATTGTGCCATTGATTTCCATAAACGAGTCTTCCATCAGATTCTTCACAGCTTAAAAGTGAAGCCTCTATTCCCGTTTTCCCTCAAAATACGTAACCGCTACAAAGATGCCTTAATTCTAGAAGAAGAAACTTTTCATATTTCACAGCATAGGTGTCTTGCTCACACCATTGAATCATCTGATTAGGGTGTTACAAAATGTTCAGGGAAATATTATTTTGCAGTATATGATATTGGGCAAGTGTTCTATCCTAAGCACTTGGGGATTTAGTAACATAACTATTGTTTAACCTGGCAGGGGAAACATGAGTTATGAAATACATTCAGATTAACGCATCCAAGGGTGTGGCCTAGTGGTCAATGAAGTGGGTTGAGAACCATGAGGTTTCAGGTTCAGATTTCTTCTCATGTGTTCTAGCCTTGGTGGACAGAGTTACCTGGTTTTTTAAAAATGCATTCAGATTATCTGGTACTCTCAGTCAAATTTCTCATGAAATACTACCTAAAAGCCTCACCTGTCAAAATTTTGTGTTTAGAAAAATTTCACAGATGCTACTGTTAGTGTCCTGGATCAAAAATAAGATTGTTGATATACATTGACAGAAAAAACCTAGTAGCAATGAAGGCTAAAAAGTATGTGAAAAGACACCTAATCCAAGTTAATGATAGAGAAACACAACGAATTCATCACAAAATCTTAACAATAATAACTAAAGAGTTTAAGTTCTTTGCACTTGCATTGCAGACACATTTTTTTTTCTGGACAATCCAATCACTTATAAGGCAATGATAGGTAAATCTTGGTGATAAGCATTAACTGATAATCTGATAAAAGTAGTAACTAAGCTACTATCATTGGTTAAAACTAGACTGATAGTGAAAATAATCTTTATACTATCAATGTATATAACTTGAATCTTCAATTAAAACGGTGAGTGTCAAGAATGTCACCTTCTTCAATGAAAACAGAAAGCCCAAAATCAGTTGCCTTGATCATTGTATGTTCATCCTTACTAGTCAATAAGAAATTCTCTGGCTTGAGATCTCTATGCATAACACCCATAAAATGACAAATATAGACCACATTCACTATCTGTCTGATAATATCAGCAGCATCTTTTTCAGAGTAATATCCCCTGGCAATAATTCTATCAAACAATTCCCCTCCAGCACAAAGTTCCATCACAAGGTGCACCGAATACTGGTCTTCATAAGCACCTTTGAATTCGACAATATTTGGTTGTCCACTCAAATGCTGCATCATTTGAATCTCCCTCTTAATATCCTCTCTGTCTTTCCTATTCACAAGCTTCCTCTTCAATATAGACTTGCAAGCATAATTCCGCCTAGTAGAATTCTCAGTACAAAGATAAATCACTCCATATTGACCCCTACCCAATTCTCTCCCAAGTGTGTAATGTGCTTTAATGTTTTCATATGGCTTACCCAAAATAGGATCTTGTTCTATTCTTTGTATTACTGGAACATTTGGTTGAGTACTTTTTACAGTAACTTGGTGTGCATGTCTTTGTTGTTGTTGTTGTGGATGTTGGGGCATATAAGGCCTCTCTTGGGTTGGTCTTGGATGATAATAAACAGGATGTTTGTAATGTTGATATGATGCAGGAGTGTTCCCTCTTCTTGTTCTTGGCCTATTACCTTCACCATCTCGCTCTATATATTTGTTTTTGCTGAAACAACCACCCATTTCTACAAAGATTGAATTTTTTCTGTATTGAATTCCTTTTTATGACAATATTGAATGCATATTCAAATTGAATGGAAAAAATAATAAATTTGGGATTTTCTTGATGTTTACAAGAAACAATGAAAATTTGACTATATCAATATTTTCGGATCACAACAATAATAATCAAGATTTTGTATTGTAAGAAAGATCCAAAAAATGAGATATTGAGTAGAAAAACTGAAAAAGGGAGAATGCCAAGGGGATTAAACTCTGTTTATTGTTTGCATTGCATATTGTGTCTCAAATGTTTTTCCTCATTCAACTTTCATTTTTCATGCATCCCTTGTTTTCCTCTAACTGCTTTTTTTCAAACTAGCGAAAATAACGCAGTATCTCTTGCTTGCTTGTCCATAGGCCATAAGTATAATAACATGGATCATCCATCTATTATAATAACATGAATATAAATGTTGATAACCAAACTATTCTTCAAATATTCTATGACTTTTGTACCTTTTAAGATATAATTTCATATTTAAAACGTGTACTAATATTGATTTGCATGGACATAAATTCTAATCACAATCAAATCTAATTGGACTTTAATATACAATTTTGACTTTAATATGAATAGAGTTGGATAAACATTAAGAGTCTGACATTAAAAAATATTTTTTAATGTGACGCACCCCCACTTAGGGATGCAACTGCAACTATGGTCATACTTGATCCTGAGTCAACCTTTGTTGGATAACCACGCTATCAGCCTAATAAGTAATACCAATCATGAAATCAAGAAAACAATTAATATATCTTGACTTAAAAATAAGCCATCGACGGCAAGTCCCCTATCAACATAACCTGCAATAAACTCAATTAATCCCAACAATTCATATTGGACAGAAACTAAATTATGTGTAGGCCATTGATATCACCATGATATCTATAATCATGTAACTCAGTTAATCCCAACAATTGTGTGTGTGCGCGCACGTGCATGGACAAAAATTCAACATTATTAAAAGAGAAAATGATTTAAAATCCCCTCAATCTATACCCGAAATTCCAACTACACACTCCAACGTGTTCTATCACCCCCTGAACATTTTAAAAGTAAAAATATATATCCCCTTAAAAAAGTCATACCCAGATTTATGTTAAGAAGTGATATACACTCGCCTACCAAATAATATTATATTATTTTTTAATAAAAAAGTTATTATTTTTTGTCTTTATTTTATTACTAGTTTCTGGGCATGCGTCTTGCGCGTGTAACCAAAGTTTTAAAAAAATTACATAAATATTAGTATTAAGAAACATGTTTGAGTTATAAATTTTATACGAAAGAAGAAGTGCAAATTCTTAAAGTGATATCTTAATCCTACTTGGCGAACTCTCTAAAAGGAAGAAATACTTCTCCAAAGAAATCCTTAGTTTTCTTACTTTGATTTCTAATTTCGCATTTAATTAGCAAAGTTACTGGACCTTGTTTCTTTTGGTATAATGTATAATCTCTTTGGGAAAAAGGACAAATATACTTCCGAACTATCGTAAATGGTATGTGTATACCCTTCGTTATACATTCAGGATATCAATGTCCTTGCCGTCTAAATTTTGGAGCATAAATACCCTTTAACCTAATTGTGGTACACGTGTCTCAATCTTAACAACTGATCCAAAATTTGTTAAAATTTTACCCAAAAATTAAACTCCACCCGGTTAAGTAAAAAAACCCACCCAAATACTAACTAACCCATATACAAATTCCTTCACTTTGCTCTCTTCCTCAGCAATCTCAAAGGCTCCTCCTCTAACCTCTAAGTCACTTGAATGTCAAAAATCCAAATTGCTACTAATGTTGCTCATGTTCTAGATAATATACTCAACACTATTGGTTTGGAGATCGATCTAGTTCACAGGTATGTAAAGAGCAATTAAATCTGTCACACCCCGAGCCTACACCTTGGGCGGGACTGGCACTCGAAAGCCATTGCTGGCCCAATCGAACCCTTGGCCTGGCTTACTTAACTGAGCGGAAGACAATATTCATATCTATAATGGTCAATGAACTTAACTGAACTGGATAATAAAATAACTGAGAATGTTTTAAAGATTAAACATTCAACTTGGCCAAAAGTGGCTACCCAAGTCTTAACAATAAGAAATGATAATGAAAAGACTCAAAGGACTAACATCTGGCTGTCTATGAAGCCTCTAAAAAAACTGAGATGGATGTTGGGACAACCCCACAACATTCTAATGAACTTACTAGAAACAAATGAAAATAGATCCTCCAGAGTGGAAGAAGGCTCACCGACTGACTCTGAACTGCTCATTGGATCAACGGTGCGCTGGAATGTCGATCCTAGTTACCTGAGTCTGCATCATAATAAGATGCAGGCCAACTAGCATCAGTACATTAAATGTACGAGTATGCAAGTTGGAATGCTAAAACAACATAGGCTGGAAAGAGAATCTGAAAGAAACACTTACCTTGGCTCTTCTCAACTCATGAATACTTAACTCAACTCATTTCAATATAAAGTAGTTTAAACAAGTGCAATATAAAGAAAAATTGTTTAAAAACATGATGTCAGCTCTGTGTATGCACAAGGATACAACATAACTCTGAAATGTATGTAAAAATACAATAAACTGATATATATAAAAATACAATAACTTATGTGGGAGTTTCTCTAACCGACAACTATCACATAAGAGCTATAGTGATGATACAACGATCTACCTCACGCTGCCAGCGCATCCTATACCCGGCCAAAGGTATATAACCTGAAATGCCTAATGGATCTACTAGTCTATTGCGAAAAGGATTCATCTAAAAAGTATGACCCTTTTTTACCCATGGTGGCTACATAGTTCTATGGTGACGTAAGTTATCTAAACTCATGCTCGTCCCCAATTCGGTGCTCAATACTACTCCCAAAATATACTGGCTCTTAAGTTTTAAAAACATACTTCTTCTGTGATTTGAGATTAATGCTAAAAAACTTAGCTCAAAGGCTATCTTGGAAATCAAAGTTTCCCCTCTTGCTTCATTTAGAAAGCGATTACTTTTTATTAACTAGCTCGAAGGCTCCTTGGAAATCTCAGTTTCCGTTCTTATTTAAATGTGAAAATATTTTAAATCTCTTTGGGAATACTTAGTCCCCATATACTTTTGAAGAAAAGAACTTTAAGTTTACTCTTTGCTTAACTTAAAACTTGAGCCTTCAAATGAAGATAAAATGTTTGATAAAGACTCTTGAAAACTTTAAGAAACTTTGTTTTGACTTGCTTCTTAACTTCTAAACTTTGACTCTTAGCTTCTATGACTTTGATCTTAACTTTCCTCGGATTGGGTTATGGATTCAAGGTTCATGATCTCATGTTTATAGATGATTCATGATGTTTAGATGTACCTTAGAGTGTTAGAATCAACTAGGAAACATAGGTACATCACTTAGGAACTAGTACAAAAAGGTGGGGGAACAATGGGGAGAACTAGCGTCCCTGGCGCTCTAAGAGGCACGGGGCGCCAGCCCTTAAACTTCAGAGAAGCTGTTGGGGCGCCCTGGCTGGCGCGTCACCCCAAGGGGTGAACTTCAGAGCCCCTTTTGGGGAGCGTTAGCTGGCGCGACGCCCCACCCCTTTCCCCAGGTTTTTGACGATTTTTCTTCTCCTTTTTTCATCTCTAAACCCTCATAACGTCCATGGTTCTTTCCCCAAACATTTAGGATCAATAGAACCCTCAACATACAACAGATTTAACTCGAAAATCCACCCAGAAACACGAATCAAATCAACAAGAGACTTCAACAACACAACCATCAAGAACTCAACGAATTTTCAACAATGTTCTTCAAGAACTCACTTTCTTTGCATTCAAACAATTTAAATTCACTGAATTGAAACAAGATTGGCGTGTGGGTGAACTAACCCAACACTATGTGATCTCACATACCTTGTAGGGATCACCCCCCGACGAATTCCACTCGCAAGGCTTGAACGTTCTTGGCGATTTCTTGATTTCTCTCCTATTTTCTCTTCTTTCTTCTCTTCTCCAAGCCCTAGCGTAAATTCTAATTTTTCTAAACTGAATAAAGTCTGGTTTTACCCCAATTAATCTCCTAAAACGAATTAGAGAAATTAGGTCAGGAAAAGACTAAATCGCCCTTCAAAAATCTGGATTAGACATTTCCTTATTCCAACAACCCAACTTCCAAAGGGCATAACTTACTTATATGAACTCAGAATGGTGCAAACTTAGCGGCGTTGGAAAGATCATTCCAAGAGATTTCCAACCATAGCTGGAACTAGACCTAACTCATCCTGAACTAGGATTTATGGTCATTTGAAGTTGACCAAAAACTCACTTTAGCTTACTTAAAATTTTCTAGATTTCCTTACACTTTCCAAAAATAACTATTTCCAGATTTTAAACTTCCTTCTAGTTCTTTCTAGTTGCGAGATGCTACAATATCTCCCCCTTGGGAACATTCGTCCTCGAATGAGATTTACTCTTACTAAGCTAAGGGTGGTAACATCAAGTTCAAACATCCCAAAAGAAATTTCAAACAAGGAACATGCTCACTCATAATTTAGATAGTACTAAGAAGAAAATTAGTACCTTGGTATGCATTTTCTCCGGTTGCAAAGAGATGTGGAAATCTCTTTTTCATATCCTCCTCAGTTTCCCAAGTAGCTTCCTCAACAAATTGGTTCCTCCAAAGGACTTTGACTGGTGCAACCTCTTTTGTCCTTAACTTGCGAACTTGGTGATCTAGAACCTAAACTGGAATCTCCTTATAAGATAAGCTATCCTTGATCTCAATACTTTCAGTTGGTATGATCAAGGAAGGATCGCCCATGCACTTCTTCAACATAGAGATGTGAAACACTAGATGAACCACAACTAACTCTTGTGGTAGCTCCAACTCATAAGCTACATTGCCCATCCTTTTTGATATTTGATAAGGTCCGCTATACTGGAGACTAAGCTTCCCATTCTTACCAAACCT